ACATATCCGGCTTTTCGTGATAAAAACCGACAAAAACAAAAATATTTACCGCTGTTTAACCATCATCAAAATTTTTTATTTATCCAATCTATTTTGCAATATTTTGCTCTTCTAGAATTATTTTCACAAATGTGTAAAAAATATTTATTGATATTGTAAACAATTTATTTTCGGCTGACATCAAGGTCATTATGACAGGACGTCATGGTGGTAGCCTAGTAATCTAACGCATGCCCGTGAGAGGCTTCCTTTATGAAGTATCTGATAGAAGGGAAAGTAATTTATTGATTTACTTACAGGTTCAAACAGCTGGACGTACGCCTCCAACGCTTTCCTGTTCACACTGTACAATACAAATGGCTACTATCCTATCAAGTTACCTCAAGTACAGTATCAACAGCATGCTATATTGAGACACAGTGGTTATGGCCCTACATTCGGATACGACATCGTCATATCTAACCATGCATCAAGTAACGGTAATAGCTATCTTCATACGTACACATACAACGTCCCGCCTGGCTGCAGCCACAATAATTACTGCTCGTTCTACACAGGCAACGCTCACTTTACACCGGGTGACGTCGAGGTTTTCTATGAAACCACCAACTAGTAATGAAAGTTTTTAAACTTTAAAAGGCCAAAAAAACTTAAGTTGTCGTATTCGTTGAATTCTCCTAAACGTCGGAGCCGTAAACTTTCAGTAAAGACAAAATGAAATATTCCAGTTTGTACTGGCGCATTTTGTTCACGTATAGCTAACTACGCATCTGCTTTAAAGGAATCTATAAATGATATCAGAAATAGGTGTGTTACTTAACAAATAAATAAGGCTCAGCCGTGGTTTATACTCTGATAAACGCACGCTTGGCATTTGAAACACACGAGAAAATGTCAAGAAGCACGAGCTGAAAGCGAGTATAAACCACGGCTGAGCCTTATTTATTTGTTTTATTATATAGATTTTGAGCAAAACTTAAGCAAATATCCATTTTCCTATCTTTTTCAAAAATCGCTCGCGCACAATCGTGGTTTATACTCTCATAAACCAAACTTTTTTGGCCAATCAGAGCGCCCGTTAGAAATTATCTATATAATAAAGTATAATAAAGAAGTCATTCGAAATGAAAAAGGCGAAATGAATGCCCTGTTATGCATGAATACAGGTCTGGTAATTTGTAATAGTGTTAATTATATGATTTGTGGAGTTATTTTAAACAATAAACATTTTATTTTACCTCTTTCTTGTAAGGATTTTTTGTTAGATTTGTGATGTAAATTATCGGGAGCACTGTCGTAAACTCCTTTAGCAGCCGCCTCTCTGTCTTGTCACACTGTAAAAACAATAAATTTTCTTAGTTTACTAATGACCACATTACAAGAGAATACCAGCGCATTACCGRGTGAACCCGTAAAGGTTGAAATTCCCGAGGTTAATATTCTAATTTTAGTGTCTGTCTGCATTAAATAAATATACAAATGAGAAAACGCACTCGTTTGAAAAAAATAATGGCTTAAAGCATTGCAAAAGTAAATAAGTAAAAATCATCTAAACTAAAAAAGTAAATTTAAAACAAAAGAATTGAGACGTGTTCAGTTTCAAGGTATTTATAACAATTACCCCTAAAGGCAGTAAACGCTTTTGCGACCTTTAACGTGCAAACTATTGTCCTGCATTGGGACTAGTTGACCTTATGTTGTGCTAACATTCTTAAAGACGGAAGTCTAACGTGTATGTTCCGTACTGTGTGATTTACAGGCAAATGCTACATTCCGTTAAAATTGATTCTTTAATCGAATGAATCGTATATTGTCTTAAACTTTTTAAAGTTTTAAAAAGTTGTAAGATTGTGCGAAAACGCATTTTCTTCTGTAACAAAGGAACTAT